ATCATTTGTACTGGATGACTGATTTTCTGCAAAAAAAGAAAGCAAGTGAATGTGAAATTAAAAAAAAAAATAAATCTTCCGAGTACAGATACAAATTCCATTCCACAACTTTAACGTTATTTTAGCTACACTACTGGGTGACTCTGTCTCTTACTGAGAGTGAATACGGAGCGAGTTTTGACTTTATGCTCAGATTTGGGTTACACATCCTAGCTGAAGAGGTACCACTGCCAGAGAATTGGTAATTTTCGGAACATGGAGATGACAATCAACTCACACAAAGACAGTTGAAACTCCCTTTCCCCTCCTGTATTCTCTAAACAAGGCGAAGGTAAAAAAAAAAGAGTAATCAGAAAGTAAAAATTATCAAAATTGGAAAAAAAAAACACCTGGCATGGTTTTTTGGTCGATTTTTTGCTGACTTTTTTCTTCAGAACATTAACAAAAGATGTTTCCTTGTCTGTGTTCTCATCGTTATCAGCGGTACGAGCTGGCAGTGACAGTGATGCACGGAGAGTCACAAATGATTCTGGATATTCCTCAGCAGAATCTAGAAGTAAAAAATCAACAGCACAAGAAATTGCCATTGGAGGGAACTAAACACGAATTTGTCATCGACCCCTTTCTACAGGAAAATTTAACGAAAAAATACTCAGAGTCATCTAGCAAAGAGAGAAAAAAAAAGGAAAAAAAAAATGGGAAATCTCGAATTCTTTCGATTCTCCACCCAAAAACTACATCCTCTAAAAACGAGGATAAATTTTCCTGTAAACAAAATCCAAAAAAATGCCAATATCTAGCATTCAATTACTTACATGTAAGTTGCTAAGGCAGAGCCAAAGCAGGCAAAGAAAAATGCAGACAGAACCTTCAAGAAGTCACGGTCAAGCCTAAAATCTGTTCAGGATGTTAAGATCCATCCGTGTTGGACACGGAAATTAACGTCTAATTCGAAGATCCAACTAGCCACCTAGGACTGTTTAGGAAACCATGGATGCTTTGTAATGGGGCTAGTCTTTTTTTTAAATTCAGTATTTTTAAGATAAGAAAAACAAAAAAAAAAAACAAACCATCGCTTTCATCAGCTGATGCTTTCCGCTTTTCTGAAGCTGTACAAGTTGCAGGTACTACACAATCTGTGGTACTTGTCATCTGTGATTGCAGCGAGTTGAGATATTCGATTAAACGTTTACATGACATTTTTTGCTCATAGAATGGTTCCAGTGTTTCCTCGTCGATCAAATAGGTGTCTTAATTATTGAAAATTTAATCTTGGTAAATATATAAAATCATTGAGCTGTTTCAGGAGATGAAACAAGCGTCACGATCGCCAAAAGGCTGACTACCACCAAGCGATGCAGCACTGGTCAAAGCAATTTTGGAAATGGAGAAATAACACTATCAAAAGTTAGGAATTTCTGAATCCATTATGCTGAATACACTTTAAACCGGCGCAATTAAATCCCTGAAGAAAATCTGCCTATTTTTAAAAAAAACTTCCATAATATTTCATTGCATTATGATGACCAAGGAATAAAATCTTCTAACATCTGAAACCACTTTTTCTCTCGCTCTTCGTTGTTCTCTTTGAGAATCCATGATAAAAGCGGAATCCACTGCCTAGCGGTTTTCAGTCAATGCGTTAAAACTATGAAAGGTTCCCTCTTTTGCGCGCTGCTTACAGAGAAACAGGCTAGCGATTTCGACTGCCCGGTATGTGCCAGTAGCAATTTACCATCGAAACGAATGGTCAATTCGTAGAGGGATTGGTTGTCCCGTAGGTGGAACCGATTACTCAGGTTTTAGCATGTAATAAGTGTCGATTCTTCTCATTACAGAAATAAAGTAGAACTTTAATAAAGTAGCGCTAAAAATAAAGTAGTACTTTTATTTTACAAGGCTGCGGTACTCGTTAAAACAGCAAGAGACGGGACATGATCTGATTTTTTTTGTAAAGCGATATAAAATCTTACCATAAGCCTGACTGCGATGTGCTGATGGATATGTGGCTGGATAGCCATAATCCACAGGGTGCAGCGAAAAAGAGCCAGAATTGCGTTTCGCGGTACACCAATCTTTGTACTCCTTTCTTTCCTCATTGTAACTCTCAACGAGCTCTTTTTTCATCTGATACAGATCGCGCAGGCGTTCTTTGAGCTGCTGAAAATTACGCCTCTGGTACCTCAATTCATCGTCGGTCTCCTGTAGCTGATTGGTTATTTCGCGGATCGATTTCAGCACATTCTGAAAACGTTTTTTTGCTGAAATTGGTTGGGTTAACAAACAAAATTTATGCAGTTTTATTTTTTCGCTGTTTCTTGATTTTTTTTTTATAAGCGAAAAAGATGGCGCACATACACCGAACAGGCGATGGATGCTAACTGCAGGTATTCAGCTTAGAATCAAAGGGTCTGGAATAGCTGTGTCGAACGTTTGAAAATATATCAGTAACATCACTAAAACGGGACTGCTACATCGATTATTTAGTCAGTTTTTAATATTCCTGGTACAAGATAAACAAAGGTTCGCATTAAGTTTAATTTTGTAAGTTATAGATGAAAAGAATACATACGCTGCGCTTTTCATTCATTCCACGAAGCTGCAGCTGTATTGCTTGCTTTTCTTCCTTCACAATATTATATTTTCTGCAAAAAGAAAAGAAATCTTGCAAAATAAATGTTAGGCAAACAAAAATCAGACATAAGAACATAATAAGCCTTTCGTTAATAAAGAATTTGAAATAAAAACTTGCAAACGGAACCAGTTCTACAGATCATATCTTGAGAACTTTTCATTATTTATGGATTCACCGAATTCTTCAAATTACCCGCATACATACATATATACATACATACATACATCCATCCATACATACATACATACATACATATACACTCATTGTAACATACAAACAGACACATAATTTTTAGTACGGCAGCTCTCATTGCTACTTTAGGAATCATATGCAGATTCCGCAACACTCCTGCCAAAGAGATGCTGTGATATATCCGGTCCAGATGAAATTGTTCCTGGGTAAATCAGGAAAAAAACCCATTTTATTCAGTGAAAAATACAGTGAAAAAACTTACGCTAGCTTTGTTTGATTTCGTTTCAGCTTATCAATTTCTTTCACCAGCACTCTTTCGGCACGATTCGATGCAAATTTCGTTTGTCTGTATGCATTTTCCAGCTCATTC